AACATGCGATTCAAGGAAGTAAAACATCTCAGGGCCCGAGTTGAAAATAAGTTACAAAGAACGCCAGCTGTTTCCGAGCCTGAACCTGAGCCTGAGGGGGAGGAATTCTAAGTTGACAGAGGCAAGCAAAATATCTATGGATGTGAAATAGGTAAAGATGTTGGTCCACTTGTCTAATTTATCGTAATCAACGAGATCCTGCTGATGAATTGATACTTCCGTTTATGACAATAAGTCGGTTAGCCAGACTTCAAAAGAGGGGTTCGCGATGTTTTCCTCGTTTGTCTCTTACATGAAAAGAAGCCTTAATCCGCGGGGCCCGAATTCGAATGACTTATTCAGTATTTGTTCATGAACCTCTGAATACATCTCATTTTTTTTTTTTTGAAAGGAGAAAAGCAAAAGTAATGCTTGATTAATAATTTTTAATACTCTGTTTTCGAACACAAAGAAACCGAAGTTAAGCACCGGCCTAATAGGCCACTAGGTTTGTAAATAGACTTTACCTTTTTCGAACACAAAGCAAGAAAAAAAGAAAAGTAGAGAAAACTAAAGATCATTCCACAAAGAAAGAAAGGAAAGATGCGAATCAAATACTATTCAGAAATCACAAGAAAAATTCCCGAATTATTTTGGTAGTCAACTCCAACACGGTTGTCGATCGAAATTCGAAGTCAATATGCAAATTTTCTGGGTATCCCAAAGTTTGCCAGCTGCTCCAAACTATCGATAAAGAAAGCAAGAGAAGAAAACAGCCAAAGGATAATTCGATAATAAGGTTTCATTCAAAGAAGGACTAAATCTTTTGTTTTCAAGCGAATTCAAATATTTTCCAATTTTATGGCAATCCAAAAATTGGTAGTTGCACTTTCCAAAGTTTGACAGCCGTCGCATTAAACTAAAATCCTTTGACCAAAACTACTGGTTGCTTAAAATGTCAATCGCAAACCCTTCTCACTCTAAAAAGAAATGGAAAAATATTGCCAAATTGCTACAGAGGAACGGATCCTTATTTTCCAGCTTATATTTTGATTTTGCTTTATGGTTGACGCTTGCGCTACTTGTCCTGGCTTCAATACTTGCAACCGAAGGAGAATCATCTCGTAGAGGCCATATGTTCTCTAAATTGCTGTCAGAATAAGCGGACTTGGGTAACGAGTGGCAGAAAGTGACCTTCTTCGTTTCCTTCGAAAGAAAAAGGGTCAGATGGACGAAGAAAATCTTGCCATCGCACGCAAAATTAGAAGAGCGGACTAAACTTTATTCCCGATGAATTTGTTCCGACGTATCTTACATATTATGACAGAAAAATGGTTAAAAAATACACGAATGTTTGTTTTGCCTAAATTTGGAGACATCGGGTTCTTTGAAAAATGGCCAAAATTTGGCGATTTGCAAAAAATTCGCAAGTTTTTCAAATTGGGATTCGCACTTATTTTATGCAACTTATTGACAGATTTTTACCTTAAACAAACGAAAATGCTTTTGCACGACAATTATGCTTGGTGGATGCCAATGTGAAATTATTTTGAGATGCTTATCGTCTTTTGAAATGTCACGAACGGCAATAACTTAAAAGATCATATCGTCG